AGATGGAATTCAACATATTTGATGCTCCGAGATGCCTTGTACTATAAGAATGCATTAATGAGGTTGAAATCATCAGATCACCGTAGATATGAAAACATTACTCCATCTCCTAGTGAATGGGCTATGGCATTCAAACTTTTCCAATGCTTGAAGAAATTCTTTGATCTCACTGAACTATTTTCTAGTACTCTATACCCCACTGCAAATCTGTTCTATAGAGGGTTTTGTGAGATAAAGATTTTGCTAGATGAATGGTCCGTTAGTCAAGATAACACTATTTGTACAATGGCTACTTTTATGAGTAGGAAGTTTGAAAAATATTGGAAGAAGTCATCCACCACACTTGTTGTTGCTTGTTTCCTAGATCCTAGGTATAATAAAAGGCTTATAGAGTTCTACATGAGAATATTCCATGGAAATGCATCTCATGTTCTTGTTGATGAACTTGTTGATGTCATCAAGAAACTGTACCAGTTCTATGTTCATGACGCACCCATGTCTTCGAGGCATAAAGGCAAATCAAATGCACCTAGTGATATGGAGATTGATACAGCGGACCTTTTAGTGGATAATGGAGATGACGAACTAGAGAGCTACCTATATGAGTCTAGTGGGCCAAATGGTGCTGAAATGAATGAGTTGGATAAGTATATGGCAGATCCACCTCTCCGGCTTAGTGGTCAGTTTGATGTCTTGGCATGGTGGAAGAACCAGACTGATGAGTATCCTGTTCTTTCAAGAATAGCTCATGATTTGCTGGCTGTACAAGTCTCTACTGTCGCTTCTGAATCAGCTTTTAGTGCTGGTGGACGTGTAGTTGATCCTTTCCGTAGCCGCCTTGAACCTGAAATTGTTGAAGCTTTGATATGCTTGAAAGATTGGATTGCTGCAGGAAGAAGAGGTTAGTTACAATACAACATTTCATGAGTTTGCTGTACAACATCTCCTAATCATATTTGCTGATTTTGTCTTGTTTGATTGTTTGATTTTCAGAAAAGTTGTACATCTCCTAATCATATTTGCTGATTTTGTCTTGCTTGATTGTTTGATTTTCAGAAAAGAAGGTTGGTTCCATTGTTTGTGATCTTGAAGTTATTGAGGCCCTTGTAGAAAAGTTGACTATTGAGGTAACATAATTTTGTGCTTCTCAAAATTTGATTTAAAATCCTGTTCCCTGTTGGTCTACTTTCTGTGAACATGATAGGATAGGATAGCCATAAGTGAGAGTAGTCAGTAGCATTGTCTTAGGTTGATCACAAATTTTGATATTGCAGTTGGTCTGATGATTCCTCTTGTATTGTAGGACGATGATGTTGCAGACAGTGATGGAGAAATGGATGCGCATGGGTCATGGTCAGCTGCAAATGAGCATGATTTCTATGGCATTTAAGTTGTGGTCTGCTGGTCTGTTTATGTTTGGAGTTTGCCCCGTTGGACTATTTACTTCAAAACTTGTGGTCTGTTGTCGTGTTGGCTGTTGTAGTGCTGTGTGAGTCTGTGACTCAATGACTGTCTAATGTCTTGTATTAATATTAATACTTATGTACTTGAGAGTTGAGACTTGGGCTCTTGCTGTTGCTAATGTTAGAACTTGGTGTTCGCTTATGCATAGCTGGACATTTCTTTTCGTGCTTAATGTTTGAAGTTGTTACATGTATTATACCGTATAGTGTTTCCGATTCCCGGCCGTAATCGGCTAGTTCCCGATCGAACTCTCTCGTTCCCGATTCCCGTAATATCGATTTTGTTTTCCCGTCCGGCTCAACCGTTTCTGATCCCCTTCCCGGTAAAAAAATACAGGAAAGGGAATGGTTTTGGGGTTTTTTCGACCGTTCCCGACCGTTTTCATCCCTAACGTCAAGTAGTTGTAGCTCGGCGGTGTCATATGATTGACTTCGTACATAGTCAGTATATTTTTAGTATATATTGCGTTTCAACTATTTCTTCGGTTGTTGTACGTGCACGAATAGATTAATGCACAGACAAAATAAACGTGAATAAAACGACGAAAATCCTTATATTAAGGTATATTTACAGTATATAGAATCGATTACAAACATAAATATTTACCTTAAATCTGGAACACAACTAGATCGTAATCGCGATGATATGATTTTTTTCCTTCTTCAAGGATTTTTTTTCAACTCTATCTAGCTTACCATTCTATTTTTTTATTTATTTATGGGTAGAATCCTGTAAATATGGAATCTCCTAAGGTATGTTTAAAGTTTTTTTTTTTTTTTTTTTTTCTGGTAGAATCCTGTAAATATGGAATCTCCTAAGGTATGTTTAAAGTTTTTTTTTCTCTCTCTCTCTCAACGGTTTCAACAATTTTGTGTTAATATAATTTTAATGACCAATTAGGTATCTTTGCAAATAAGTTGTTTGAGTTAGTATTGTTACAATTATTTAACAGTCACTACAGTAAATATGTAAATTTGCCTCAATATATTTATAACAACAACAAACACATGTAGATCCAATTTAACAACAACAAACACATGTAGATCCAATTTTCTAACATTGGATTCAGGCTTAATTATATATTAATAATGTCCATATTAATATATTTTGTAGATCCAATAAATGGAGACTAACCACCGATAGCGGGTGACACGGCCCATCGCGTGTTCTTGTGTGGAAGTGGTTGTACAACAATTTAAATAACTTGACACTTTTGCTTTGTTTATCCAATGTGGGAGTAGAGTACACATCGAATAATGAGTTGTCTATCCTACCGGGCCTATTTTTTATTTTTTATTTTTTACTTTTAAATAGGAGTAGACTACATCAAATTTATTGGGAGTTACACCATTATCTCATTTAGGCTTTACTTATGATTTTAGAAGTTTAGAATTGCTCAAACGGACAAATTTTGTTGGACATTACATAGTATTTGTACAAAATGTGGTCATTACATAAACATAGACAAATTTTTTCTTTTACATATTTAGACAAATGTTAACTATATTAATGATAAAATTATATACAATAATATATTATACATATAAAATAAATAAAAAAATAATATTAATTACCGACCACTGATCCCACCAGTAAATTATTGAACCGGTAGCTTCAACCTTGATAATTACAAAATATTTTTTCCTTTTTTTTTTTTTTCCTCTTCCAAGTCTCGTATGTGGCCAAAACAATGAACGCATTACCCAAGAGCGCTTGGATGAGATGGCTTGAGTCTCTTCCAGCTTAACCAGTGGTCTTGAGTTCGAGCCCTGGGAATGCAGCAGTGTTAAAACTCTTGAGGGAGAGCTTTGCCGCCCTTGTAGTCCTACCCGGCTCGATTCCGGATTA